TATAGGCGATTTATTCATGTCAGGCAGGAGGATTGTTGTTAGCAAGCGTTCGATTTTGATGGGGAGAATTTTAAATGGGCTCGCAAACGGAACTAGGGACCATCGCACTGAAAATGCACGCTGGTGGAATAAAAGTGAGCTGGGGTACCAGATGGGTGGGTGGGTAATTGGGCGGATTGGGTTTTTGGAGGATTTATGAGGTTGAAGCAGGTTTTTGGTGCGAGAGGTGTGTTGAGGTGGTAGGCAACACAATATACACCGTAATCTGCACAGGTTTTATGTTGATTTTCGAAAAAGCAAGGGTTGTTTTATTGTTTTTGTACATTGTAATGTTTCGTAATGGGTACTATGATTATGGTACTAATCACTTGAAGGTTTTCACTCGAAGATTTAAAGCTGTGTGATAATTTCAGGGACGTAATTCTTATTCCTTGTTCCTTGTTCCTTATACTTATATAAATTATCGGTACTTGGACAAAGCTTAGCGGTCGACACACGCTAAAAAACAGCGCCGTAGCGTTGTACCAACTTTTTTTTTAATTTTTCTATTTGTAATTTTTAGATCTACATTGTTTTTATTTTATAGTTGTTTATTTTTAAATTTTTGGATGTTTCAAGTTTTCAATTTTTGGATGCATTTTATTTTTCAATCTTGCAAAACTTTAGCTTTTTAATTTTGTCGTTATCCAAGTTTTCGATTTTATGTTTTTCAATAATCAATTTTTAGAAGATTCGCGGTTTTATATTTTCAAATTTTTTGATCTTCTAATTTTTCCTTTCGTCAATTGTTTCATTTTTCAGTTGCTTTCAGTTATTTTTTTCAATTTTTAGTTTCTTCAGAAGAATTCAATTTTGATGTTTTGAGTTTTGAGATTTTTTAATTTTTAGATGTTCTTATTTTTCGTTTCTTGAATTTTTTTATTTTCAATTTGCCGTTTCTACAGTTTTTCGCTTTTTTAACTTTTGGGTACATTTGTAACTTTTGATTTTTCATTTTTCGTTTCATTCATTTTCCAATATTTCCACTTTAGAATTTTGAAGTTCCTGATTTAAAATTTTTCAATATGCAATTTTAAAATTTCACAGTTTTAAATTTTAATTTTTTGGACCTTTTAATTTTTTCTTTCATTAATTGTTCCATTTTGCAGTTGCTCGATTTAAAATTTTTAATTTTTTCAATTTTACGTTTCTTTTATTTTACATTTTTCATTTTTTCAATTTTATAATTTTTAGACTTTTTTTAGATGTTTTTTTGGCTATTTTTGAATTTTTTATTTTTTTACTTCGTCAACTTGTCGATTTTCAATTTTTTAATGTTATAATTTTTGGTTTTTATATAGATAATCGTCTTTAATTTTTCCAATTTCTGGATATTTTAATTTTTCGTTTTTTCAAATTTTGACTTAATTTCTCGATTTTTAATTTTTCAGTTTTTTGATTTTCAATTTTTCGATTTTACTTTCTCGATTTTTCATTTTGTCATTTTATCATTTTTCAATTTTTCAATTTTTTGCATTTTCAGATTTTCGATTTGCAATTTTTCGATTTTCAGTTTTTCCATTTTACAATTTTTCGAATTTTCAATGTTTATGGATTTTAATGTTTCGTTTCTTCAATTTTTTCTTTTAAAATTTTCGATTCTACAGTTTTTCAGTCTTTAATTTTTTTGATTTTTTAATTTTTCGGTTTTACAATTTTTAGATTTTTTAATTTCTGAATTTTGCAGTTTTTTGCTTTTTCAATTTTTAGATAAATACTTTTTGATTTTATCTCTTTTTGGATCTTTGTTAGTTTCATAAATCTTTCGATTTTTTATTTGCTCGATTTTAAATTTTTTATTTTTTAAAAGTTTTCGATTTTCTAATTTTCGAATTTTTTAATTTTTCACTTCGTCTTTTCGATTTGAAATTTTTCGATTTTCGATACTTCAACTTTACGATTTTTTGGTTTTTCTGTTTTAGATAATTAGTTTTCAGTTTTTTCAATTTCTGGATATTATAATTTTTCGTTTTTTCAATTTTTGACTTAATTTCCCGATTTTTAATTTTTCAGTTTTTTGATTTTCAATTTTTCGATTTTACTTTCTCGATTTTTCATTTTGTCATTTTACCATTTTTCAATTTTTCAATTTTTTGCTTTTTCAGATTTTCGATTTGCAATTTTTCGATTTTCAGTTTTTCCATTTTACAATTTTTCGAATTTTCAATGTTTATGGGTTTTAATTTTTCGTTTCTTCAATTTTTATTTTTTAAATTTTCCATTCTGCAGTTTTTCAGTTTTTCTTTTTTTTGACTTTTTAATTTTTCGGTTTTACAATTTTTAGATTTTTTAATTTCTGAATTTTGCAGTTTTTTTGGTTTTTCAATTTTTAGATAAATACTTTTTAATTTTTTCTCTTTTTGGATGTTTGTTAGTTTCATAAATCTTTCGATTTTTTATTTGCTCGATTTTAAATTTTTAATTTTTTAAAATTTTTCTATTTTCTAATTTTCGAATTTTTTAATTATTCACTTCATCTTTTCGATTTGCAATTTTTCGATTTTCGATATTTTAACTTTACGATTTTTTGGTTTCTCTATTTTAGATAATTAGTTTCCAGTTTTTTCAATTTTTTGATACTTTAATTTTTTGTTTCTGCAATTTCTACTTTTTCAATTTTTCGATTTTACAGGCTTTCGGTTTTTCATTTGTTTGATTTTTTAATTTTCGTTGTTTCGATTTTACAATTTTAAAATTTTTCCAATTTGTAAATTTTGCAGTTCTTTGGTTTTTATATTTTTAGGTAATTAGATTTTAATTTTTTCACTTTTTGAATCTCTGTTCGTTTAATAAATTTTTCGATTTTTTTTCTCGATTTTAATTTTTCGATTTCCTGATTTTCGATTTGCAGTTTTTCGGTTTTCAGTGTTTTAACTTTACAATTGTTTGGTTTTTCTATTTTAATTAAAAGTCTATAATTTTTTCAATTTTTTATGTTCTAATTTTTTAGTTTTTTGATTTGCACATTTTTAATTTTTATTTTGTCATTTTACCATTTTTCGATTCAATTTTTCAGTTTGCAAATTTTCGATTTTCGGCTTTTCTTTTTACAATTCTTGAATTTTATAATTTTTAAATTGTTTTAATTTCCAAGTTTTCAATTATTATTATTGGTTTTCATTTTTAGATTTTTTCTTTCCGATATTACAATTTTTTAATGCTTCAATTTGGAAATTTTTGGTGATTGTATTTTTAGATAAATATTTTTTTATTTTGTTCAATTTTTGGATATTTTAATTCTCGTTTCATTAATTTTTCGATTTTTCAGGTAATCGATTTAAATTTCTTTTCACTTTTCCGATTCTTCTATTTCACGATTTTCAGTTTTTCTATTTCATGTTTTCAGACTTTCATTTTTAGGTTTCTTAAGTTTTAAATATATTTCTTTTTTTAAACTTTGGGAATTTTGATTTTTCTATTTTGAGGAACTTGGTTTTTAATTATTTCAATTTTTGGAAATTTTAATTTTGCGTTTTTCAATTTTTGACTTCAGTTTCTTGCTCTTTAATTGTTAATTTTTTAGATTTTTTTAATTTTCCGTTTTTTCGACATTGTAATTTTTGTATTTTTCAATTTTGCAGTTGTTTGGCGTTTTTTTAATTTTTGAATAAATAGTTTTTAATTTTGTTCAATTTAGGGATATTTCAATTTTTCGATTTTTGAAGTGATTTTAAATATTTTATTTTTTCAATTTTCGGTTTATTCAATTTCACGATTTTCAATTTTTCTATTTTTTGATTTCTAGACTAATTTTTTGATGTTTTTATTTTTCGGTTTTTAATTTTGCGTTTTTACAATTTTTTGATTTTTTAAGTTTTAATTATATGTATTTGTTTTTTCAACTTTTGATTTTGATTTTCAATTTTGCGATTTCCCTTTTTCTATTTTTAGAAACTTGGCTTTCAATTTTATCAATTTTTGTGTATTTTAAATTTTCGTTTTTGAATTTTTAGCAGTTTCTCGCTCTTTAATTTTTTAGTTTTTGATTTTTCATTTTGCCATTTTACCACTTTTCAGTTTTTCAATTTTTAGATTCAATTTTTATTTTTTTTTGTTTTTCAGTTTTTCATTTTACAATTTTTGATTTTTCTATTTTTAGATTTTTTAATTTTGCGTTTTTTCATTTCTACAATTTTTAATTGTTTTTCTATTTCGTAAATTTTTCGAGTTTCCAGTTGCTCCATTTAATTTTTTTTTATTTTTTGTATTATCATTTTTTCAACTTTTCGATATGCAATTTCTAGATTTTACTATCTTAAATTTTTCAATTTTTCGATTTTCTAATTTTTGAATTTTTTAGTTTGTTTTTCACTTCATCAACTCTTCGATTTTCAATTTTTCAGTTTCTAATGAATTTAATTGAAGTATCTAGTACTTATTGTGTTATTTTGGTGAATACAAACGTCAAATTTATGTATGTTACATATTATCGCTAAAGACAAAATTACACAGTTGTAGTTCTGGCAGACTGAGCTTGACCCTATTCGACCTATCGATGCCATTGTTTCCAAGGTTGCTTGACAAAAGTGCAGCTGTATAATTGGTACTTAACACTAGTTCATCTAGTTTTTAAAATTTAAAAATGTCTTCACAGTTTAGTGCTTAAAATTTCAAAGTATTCGGTTTGTTAGTTTCGCAAATTGTCTCTCTAATAAATCCAGTGGTGGCTCGTGCGTATAATTAAGCAAGGGCCCGTAGTTTAAAATTTCTAACCAAATTGTTCACCTATCTACCTTCCTCTATCATTAGGGCATTAGGCAATCACTCACCGCCCCCAGCACACCCATCACCAAACCAAAATCTCCTCCATCCCCTACTCACCCAACCCTTGCACCCATCACCCCCGCCCCGCCGCCCGCCGCCAATTACCCTCCCCCTCCGCCCATTCCCGCAGCCCAAAATCATCTGCCCATCATCGCACCTAATCAAGTCAATTATCTTCCCCAGGTGTTCTCGCCGTCTTTTATCCCCTGACCGATCATCTGTCCGATTTGGCGACGTCGTGGCCAGCTGAAACGTAAAAAAGTCGAGATCCCGCCCTGCCCAGGTGCGTTATGCGGGTGAACGAAACTGATAGCGAGCATAATGATAACCAAGGGTTAGTACCTCGGCGCGAAGACACGCGAAAGCACGAGGATGAGCCATGGCAAACCCGGTGTCGGCTTGCATGTATTCGGAATGGATGGTCGGTGGTGAGGAGTATCGGGTTGCGGCGCCAGGAGACGATGGGACAAAGGACGGCGACACAAAGGAGGACAAGAAAAGAGGGTACAAGCACGTGCCGCACAGGGAGAAGCCGGCGCAGGTCGTGGCCAGGAGGAACGCCAGGGAGCGGCGCAGGGTCCAGGCGGTCAACTCGGCCTTCGCGAGGCTGCGGAAGGTGGTCCCGGTGGAAAATGCCAGGTTGGGGTTTGGTGGTGTTGGTGGTAGATGGGGGATATTGGTGGCGATGGTTTTTGTTTGGTGCTTGAAGGGGTGGGTTTTGAATGGGTGCTGGTGGTAAGATGAGAGTTTTCGAGAAGATGGGCTGAAGGCTTTGTTTCTGATGTCTGGGTCGATGCTAACATAAGGACAGTGGGTCTGTGTACGAACAACTTTCAAGGTTTATAGGCTTTACATATACGAGTTGTCAATTTTTATTTCTAGAGCGTAAGCTAAAATAACACATTCCTACATGTGTAGTTTATGAATCCGTGTTAAGACATTTATTAGATTCTTGGCAAAAAAATCAAAAAATTTTATAATAGACCAATTTTTTTAATAAAACCTGAACGTACTCGCTGCGCTCGCATTCTAAATGTTCTTTTTTTAAGTTTAGTCTCAGAAGTATTTAAGAAAAATTTCAAAAATTCAAATGTTGACAAACTGAGAAGTCGAAAACTTAAAAAATTGAAAAACTGAAAACTCAAAAATACAAGAAATCGAAAATTCGTCGACGAATATTTTGTGTTTTCAGTGTTGCGAAAAATCGAAAAACTGAAAAATTGAATAATTTAAAAAAAATGAGCAATCGAAAAATCAAAAATGTTGAAAATCAAAAAACTGAAAAATCTAAAGTTTAAAAACTGGAAAAATTGATTAATAGAAGAATCGAAGAACTAAATAAATATCGAGAAATCGAAAAATCTAAAATTAAAAAAATCGAAACACTGAAAATTGAAGAATCGAAATATTGAAAAATCGAAAAATTGAAAATTTAAGAAATCGAAGAATTGAAACATCGAAATCTCGATAAATTGAGAAATCGAAAAATTGAAAAATCCAAAATTTAAAAATTGAAAAATTGATAAATAGAAAAATCCAAGAACTGAAAAACCTCAAAGTCGAAAAATAGAAAAATCTAAAATTTAAAAAATCGAAAAACTGAAGAATTGAAAGACTGATAAATTGAGAAATACAGTCATTAAAAAATCGAAAAATAGAAAAAATTTAAATCTAATTTAAAATTTAAAAACCGAAATATTGAAAAATCCCAAAAGTAAAATATTGAAAAATTTATAAAGCCATAAATCAAAAAATTTAAAAATCCCAGAACTGAAAAACCCAAAAATCGGAAGGTCGAAAAATTGAGAAATCGAAATAGCTCAAAATAAAAAACTAATAATTGAAAATCAAAAATCAGGAAATTGAACAACCGAAAAAATTTAAATCTCGCTAAATCGATAAATCGAAAACTTGATAAATTAAAATTAGATAAATTGAAAAGTTTTTAAAAAAATTGAAAAATTTAAATCCAAAAATCTAAAATTTAGATATCGAAAAATTGAAAAGTCATAAACCTGAGAAATCGAAACAGTGAAAAAAATGGAAAATCGAAGAAATAAACTGAAAAATCCGGAATCGAAAAGTCAAAAGATGGAACATCGAAAAGTCGAAAAATCGAGAAATCGAAAACTGATTAATCGAGAAATCGAAAAACTGAAAAATTAAGAGCGCTAAAAATTGAAAAATCGAAAAATTGAAGCATCGAGAAATCGAAACATGAAAACATTGAGAAGTCGAAAAGTCGAAAAATCGAAAAGTCGAAAATCGAAAAGTCAAAAAATCGAAAAATCGAGAAACGGAAATAGCCCAAAATCGAAAAATTAATAATTGAAAAATTTAAAATTAACAAAAAATCGATAAATCGAAAATTCAAGAAATTGAACAATCGAAAATATAGAAATCTCGATAAAATCGAAAACTTGAAAAATTAAAAATCGATAAATTGAAAAATTGTAGTTTTTAAAAAAATTGAAAAACCGGAAAATCTAAAATTTTGAAATTCAAAAAAATTTAATTTAGATGTTTCAAAGTTGAAACGAAAGATCGAAAAATCAAAACATCAAAAATTGAAAAATCTAAGATTTAATTGGAAAATTTGACAAATGGGAAAATCGAAGGGCTGAAAAGTGGAGAAATCGAAAAATAGAAAAATCGAAAATTGAAAAATTTAAAATCCAAAAATCTAAAATTTAAAAATCGAAATATTGAAAAATCCTAAAATCAATAAATCGAAAAATCCCAAAACTGAAATATGAAAAATTGAAAAGTCAAAAACCTGAGAAATCGAAGCACTGAAAAATTGGAAAATCGAAGAAGAAACTGAAAATTCCGGAATCGACAAGTCCAAAAATGGAACATCGAAAAGTCGAAAAATCGAGAAATCGAAAACTGATTGATCGAGAAATCGAAAAATTGAAAACTGGGAAGCGGTAAAAATTGAATAATCAAAAAATTGATTCGAAACATGAAAAGATTAAGAAGTCGAAATCGAAAAATCGAAAATTCAAAAAATCAAGAAGCGAAAAATCAAGAAACTGAAATCGCCCAAAATCGAAACATTAATAATTGGAAAATTTAAAATTAACAAAAAATCGAAAAATCGAAAATTCAGGAAATTGAACAATCGAAAATATAGAAATCTCGATAAAATCGAAAACTTGAAAAATTAAAAATCGATAAATTGAAAAAATTGTAAAGTTTTTAAAAAAATTGAAAAATCGGAAAATCTAAAATTTTGAAATTCAAAAAAATTTAATTTAGGTTTTTCAAAGTTGAAACGAAAGATCGAAAAATCAAAACGTCAAAAAACTGAAAAATCTAAGATTTAATTGGAAAATTTGACAAATGGGAAAATCGAAGGGCTGAAAAATGGAGAAATCGAAAAATAGAAAAATCGAAAATTGAAAAATTTTAAATCCGAAAACCTAAAATTTAAAAATCGAAATATTGAAAAATCCCAAAATCAATAAATCGAAAAATCCCAAAACTGAAACATGAAAAATTGAAAAATCGAAAATTTTAAAATCGAAAAATTGAAAAGTCAAAAACCTGAGAAATCGAAAAACTGAAAAATTGGAAAATCGAAGAAAAAACTGAAAATTCCGGAATCGAAAAGTTAAAAAATGGAACATCGAAAAGTCGAAAAATCAAGAAATCGAAAAATCGAAAACTGAGAAGCGCTAAAAACTGAAAAATAAAAAAATTGAATCGAAACATGAAAAGATTAAGAAGTCGAAAAGTCGAAAAATCGAAAAATCGAAAATTCAAAAAATCAAGAATTCGAAAAATAGAGAAACTGAAATAGCCCAAATTCGAAAAATTAATAATCGAATAATTTAGAATTAACAAAAAATTGAAAAATCGAAAAATCAGGAAATTGAACAATCGAAAATATAGAAATCTCGATAAAATCTAAACTTGAAAAATGAAAAATCGGTAAATTGAAAAATTGTAAAGTTAAAAAAAAAAATGAAAAATCGGAAAATCGAAAATTTTTAAATTCAAAAAATTTTAATTTAGAGCTTTCAAAGTTGAAACGAAAGATCGAAGAAAAAAATAACGAAAAATCGAAACATCAAAAAATCGAAAATTGAAAAATTTTAAATCCAAAAATCTAAAATTTAAAAATCGAAATATTGAAAAATCTCAAAACCGAAAAATCGAAGAACTGATAAATCGATAAATCGAAAATCCCAAAATTGAAAAATCGAAAAATTGAAAAATTGAAAACCTGCGAAATCGAAACACTGAAAAATTGGAAAATCGGAGAAAAAAACTGAAAAATCCGGAATCGAAAAGTCAAAAAATGGAAAAACTGAAAACTTAGGAACGCTTAAAATCGAAAAAATCGAGAAGTCGAAAAGTCGAAAAATCTAAACTGAAATAGCCCAAAATCGAGAAATTGAACAATCGAAAATATAGAAATCTCAATAAAATCGAAAACTTGAAAAATTAAAAATGGATAAATTGAAAAATTGTAGTTTAAAAAAAAAATTAAAAATCGGAAATTCGGAAATTTTTAAATTCAAGAAATTTAATTTAGATCTTTCAAAGTCCACAAATCGAAAGATCGAAAAATCAAAACATCAAAACAAAAAAAATCCCAAAACTGAAGAATCGAAAAATCGATAAATCGCTAAATCGAAAATCCGAAAACTCAAACATGAAAAATTGAAAAATCAAACCTGAGAAGTCGAAACACTGAAAAATTAGAAAATCGGAAAGTCGAGAGATCGAACATCGACCAGTCGAAAAATCGAGAAATCCAAGAATCGAAAACTGAGGAGCGCCAAAATTTGAAAAATTGAAAAATCGAAAAATTGAGAAGTCCATAGTTAAAAATCGAAATTTGTTTATACAGTTTTGACTTTTTTCCAAAAATCTCTAGAACGCGGATTCATAAACCACAAGTTCAGGACTATGTTTGTGTAAAAGAAATCGAGATAGACTGCGCATAGACATACAGACAGACAGACAAACGGAAACGGGAAACCTATTTCCTATTTTATACATAGAATTTTTTCATATAACCTAGGTTTTAGGTTACCGCTCTGAGTGTGTGGGAAATACTGCATAAATTCTTTACACCAGTTTTTTTGATTCAGAAACTGCACAATAAAATATCGTCAAGGGAATCTTCATTTTTTTATTATTTTTTGAGATGACATCACCAGCTTTCCGGATGAATGAATAAATTTTAGTGAATGGTATCTATTATGTAAGCTTTGAGAAAACCTGTAGAATTTGATGCTCCATACTTGTTTGTTTGGGTTGTATAAAGTATATCTTATCTCAAGTGATTCGTCAATATTAGTTCAAAACTACTATTTGTAGGGATAACAATGATCCGGTTAAAAATTCGCACAATTTCTACCAAACTTATGGACATCTTTTTGACTGTTGTAGTAGTCACCATTGTTCATACGGTGTTGACTCAACGATACATCAAAACAGTATTCCAATATTAAGTATGTAAATGTTTCAGAGGAAAACGCATCAGCAAGGTGAAGACCCTCCAGCACGCCATCGACTACATCCACTCCCTGTTAGACCTCCTCGAGCAGGACCGGAACTACCACGTCCTCGTAAGCAGTCAAACATCACCTCTAATCTCTCAAACAATAAAATTGCAGTCCCACTACTACGCCCACAAGCTCCAGGAGGACTACTTCCCCGACTTCCACTACGCCGCCAACTTGTAGCCGTCCCCAGCCAACCAATTCTAGTCATTAATTAACCCCAAATAAACACGTCCAAACTGAATGCATTTTTTAACCGAAATATTTTATGCATGCAGAGCGCACCAGTGAGGGCACCCACATCCCAGCATTATTTTTAACCGGCGTCCTTGCGTCCAATTCCACTTATCTCTTTTATCATTCCAATTGCGTCTGGCCCCCCCGAAACCGCCATTACTATTCACCGGCGAAAAATGATTTATTTTGCAAATATTAATTGATATGCGGCGATTACGGCACGTCGAGTTGTACAGCATGTGTAGGGGCGCGGTGTTAATGCCTTTTGGATATTTTCACGTAGCAAAGGACATCACTCGCACTGGCAAGGACGTGCATTTAATCAGTTATTACAGTTCGTGGTATTTAATGGTATTCGCAGTCGATGGACATACACGTAGAGAATGTTTACATCCTGTTTGGGACTTGGAACAAAGGGGCTCATCGGTATTCATAATTAACGGCGGTTGCGGCTTGGGCCAACGGTAACGACGCCAAAAGGGGAAACGGGGCTTTCTTCAGGCCTTGAGAAGATCTTCATTAGGTCTTACTGTTGTTGATACACGGACGGTTTTGGATCGGCGTGTAGGAAGCGAAATTGATATTTATGGCTTCGCAGGAATAAAAAGAATAGTCAGCGGTCTCAAAACGGCGCGGTTAACTGAAAACTGATGGTCAAGTCAGTACGGAGAAATCAGATAGTCGTGTGCGGCAACCAAATACAGAGTGCTGCGGACTGAACAAATCGCCTTATTCACACGCGTCACACATTTTTTTTTCGAATATCCACTTTTAAAGTTGACTAAGCTCTACTGAATCATCAGCGGACCCTAATTTATTGGAATTTATTGTACTACGTCTAGAGCGTCACTGTAATGACTAAACACCGGTTTCCATTTTTTGGTGTTTTACAAAAAAAAAAGAATAATAAGTCGTTAGCTCACTTGTTAACAGGCAGTTAGAAGTTTCTCCACTTCTTCGTCGTGGATACTTTTTCTCTTTGTTTTGTTAGTCTTTCTGAGTCCTTAATTTAAAACTTTGTAATCCATTCACATTTTTAGCTTATGACTATTTTATCTATGACTCTTCAATAATATCGTTATTAAATATGTTTTACGGATTTTATTAATTGGGGGTGTTTAGTTGGTTGCCTAATTATAGATTAAAAAAGAAATAGTCATAAATTCCAATATCTGCATCACCGAGAAATGCGAAAATAATAAACAACTGAGCTACCAATGCTCGGAACCTGTAATGTTGGTTGCCTATTTATGACTTTTAAGAATTTGGACATCGTCGTCAGAGGATCCAGGTCTAACACTTTCTTTATGAAGATTGTTTACCTGATGCCACTTTGACATTCGACTACACGAAGAAATACACTTTTCATTCAATAAAACGTGGTACCAAAAAGAAAATCGGGTGGGTGGGTGGGGCCACTTTGAATTTTTGAAAGTGTAAATTGGATCACTTGACTAAATATAATTCAATTTTCATCTCGTAGTACATACAACAAGCCAATGAAATACAGGTGGGTGGAGTTTTTCTTTTACAAGAATTTGGACATCGCCTTCCTCAGGGGAGTCCACCTGCAGATCTTCCTCAGAAGCGTTACAGTCGTCGATAAAACGTAATAATATACTATTATTCAATAAAACGAATACACTGAAATCCAAAATGTGTAAAAATGTCGTCATTTAATTTCTTGTGGTGGGCTAAGTATTAATTTTAAGATTTAACGGGTGTTAATTGTCTGCTCTGGAATTCAACAGGATGGCACTCTCTGCAAAAATTTGTTCCATTTCAAGTTCCATTTGTAACCTTTAAATTTCAGAAAAGAATAATAAAAAAATATAAGAATAAATAACAAAAAAGTATTTGTTGCAGATATTTTTGATTATTTTTTACAAATCTGAGTATTTTTTCTGGTATTTTGCTAGTTCTTATCGATACACCTTTTGTTTTTGAAGTATGTAATTTGAAAGAATCTAATTTTGTTTTCGGAGTGATTTGATAGAATCTTGAAGATCCCTTGTGTTTTGGTTTTCAAGTAATTTGAAAGAATCTGGGGAAACTCTGTGTCTGGTTTTTGAAGTACATAGTCTGAAAGAACTTGGGGGACTCTGGTGTCTGGTTTTTGAAGTAGTTTGAAAGAATTTCGGGGATTCCTTTGGTTTTTGAAGTAACTTGGACGAATCTTGGGGGCCCCTCGTGTCTGGTTTTTAAATAGTTTGAAGAATCTCGGGGAATATTTTTGTTTTGTTTTTGAAGTAATTTGAAAGAATCTTGGAGGCCTCTTGTATTTTGTTTTTGAAGTAATTTGAAGAAATCTCATTTTGTTTTATTTCTGAAGTACTTTGAAAGAATTTTGAGAAACCCCTGTGGGCCACAAGGGTTTCTCAATGAAATAAACACAAATTTCAAAGATATTCTTTCAAATTAGTTCAAAAACAATTTTGAACTAATTTGAAAAAATCTCGAGAGCCCCCTGTGTTTGGTTTTAGAAGTAACTTGAAAGAATTTCGCAGACCACTTTTGATTTTGAAGTACTTTGAAAGAATCTCGGTGACCCCTTTTGTTTTTTTTTTAAATAATTTGAAAGAATCTTTGGGATCCCTTGTGTTTTGTTTTTCAAGTACCAGTTTAAAAGAATTTTGGGGACTCTCTGTGTCTGGTTTTTGAAGTAATTTGAAAGAATCTGGAGAACCCCTTGTTTCGTTTTTCAAGGATCCTGGAGATCCTTTTTGTTTTGTATTTGAAGTAATTTGAAAGAATCTTGGGAAACTCCTGTGGGTCTTGTTTTCGAACTAATTTGAAAGAATTTCGGGGACCACTTTGTTTTTGAAGTAGTTTGAAAGAATTTCGTGGTCCCGTTTTGTTTTGTTTTTGAAGTGGTTTGATAGAATCTTGGGAGCCCCTTGTGTTTTGTTTTTGAATAGTTTCAAAAGATCTTGAAGATCCCTTGTGTTTTGGTTTTCAAGTAATTTGAAAGAATTTGGGGAACTCTTGTGTCTGGTTTTTGAAATAGTTTGAAGGATCTCGAGGAACATTTTTGTTTTGTTTTTGAAATACTTTGAAAAAATCGTGGAGGCCTCTGGTATTTTCTTTTTGAAGTAATTTGAAAAACTCTCATTTTGTTTCATATTTGAAGTACTTTGAAAGAATCTTGAGAAACCCCTGTGGGCCTTATTTTTGAACTAATTTGAAAGAATCTCGAGGATCATTTGTGTTTTTTTTTTAATTTGATTAAAAAAATCTCGGGAGTCCCCTGTGTCTGGTTTTAGAAGTAGTTTGAAAGAATTTGGGGGCCCACTTTTGATTTTGAAGCAGTTTGAAAGAATCTCGGTGGCCCCTTGTGTTTTGTTTTCAAGTACAAGTTTAAAAGAATCTTGGGGACTCCCTGTGTCTGGTTTTTGAGGTAGTTTGAAAGAATCTGGGAAACTCCTTGTGTCTCCTTTTTCAAGGATCCTGGGGATCCTTTTTGTTTTGTATTTGAAGTAATCTGAAAGAATCTTGGAGAGCTCCTTGTGTTTTATTTTTGAAGTAGTTTGAAAGAATCTTGGGAAATCCCTGAGGGCCTTGTTTTGGAACTAATTTAAAAGAATCTCGGGGATCATTTGTGTTTTATTTAAGTTGTTTAAAAAAATCTCGGGAGCCCCCTGTGTCTGGATTTAGAAGTAGTTTGAAAGAATTTCGGGGACCACTTTTGATTTTGAAGTATGTAGTTTGAAAGAATCTCGGTGACCCCTTTTCTTTTGTTTTTGAAGTAATTTGAAAGAATCTTGGGGATCTCTTGTGTTTTATTTTTCAAGCAGTTTAAAAGAATCTTGGGGACTCCCTGTGTCTGGTTTTTGAAGTACATAGTTTGAAAGTATCTGGGGGGATTCCTTGTTTTTGGTTTTTGAAATAGTTTCAGGGATCCTGGAGATTCTTTTTGTTGTGTTTTTGAAGTAGTTTGAAAGAATCTCGAGGACCACTTGTGTCTGGTTTTTGAAGTGGTCTGAACGAATGTCGACACCTCCTTGTGTTTAGTTTTTGAAGTAATTCGAAAGAATCTTATTTTGTTTTGTTTTTGAAGTAGTTTGAAAAAATCTTGAAAAATCCCCGTGGGCCTTGTTTCAGAACTAATTTGAAAGAATCTCGGGGACTCGTGTTTTTTTTAAGTTGTTAAAAACAATTTCGGAGTTTTTAGTTTTTGAAGTAATTTGAAAGAATATCAGGGACCACTTTTGATTTTGAAGTAATTTGAAAGAATCTTGGGGATCCCTTGTGTTTTGTATCTCAAGTAGTTTAAAAGAATTTTGGGGACTCCCTCTATCTGGTTTTTGAAGTACATTATTTGAAAGAATCTGGGGGGATCCCTTGTGTTTGGTTTTTGAAATAGTTCCAGGGATCCTGGAGACCCTTTTTGTTTTGTATTTGAAGTATATAATTTGAAAGAATCTTGGCGGCCCCTTGTGTTTTGTTTCTGAAATAATTTGAAAGAATCTCGAGGACTCCTTTTGTTTTGTTTTTGAAGTACGTAATTGAAGCAATCTTGGGGACCAACCGTGTTTTATTTTTGAAGTAGTTTGAAAGAATCTTGGGAACCTCCTGTGAGTCTTGTTTTGGGATTAATTTGAAAGAATCTCGGGGACCCTTTAGATTTTATTTTTGAGGTAGGTACATAGTTTAAAAAAAATCTCGAGGAACCCTTGTGTTTTGTTTTTGAAGTAGTTTGAAAAAATCTCGGGGATTCTTTGTCTTGTTTTAAAGTAATTAAATAATAAGAATGTGTAATTTGGATTCGAGCACCGACGTTTTGGAAAATTCCCGATTCCAGATGAGCCCGTCCGTCCCTGCTTGTCTCGTTAGTTTGAATTTTGAAAGTTATTTGACGTTTTGGTGGCAACATTTCAGTGTCGCCAATGACTCTAACAATAATACACTAGATATTTTTTAATTTATGCATAAAAAAATGTACAAATTACAATTGTCTAGTATAGATATAAAAATGCACCTTACTTGTCAAAATACACAGTTGATAGTCACATACACATAAATAGTTATTTTATTTATTTAATACATGCACTGAGTCATCAAATTAAAATGTGACTGGATTTGCTGGGTTTTTCAATTTTTGTAAACAAATACTCATTGCACGATTTGCGGAAAAACCACGTTCATTTTCATAATAATGAGTAAATTAATTTCAATAAACTACCACCAGTACTCCATAAATTATGTAATTTAATTAGCATATATCAAATTTCATGATGTGTTTATACATTTAACATGTGTCACTTCTGTGTCGTCGATATGCTAAGCAGACGAAATAAAAAAATACTCATTCAAAAAAATATATTTGGACGAACAGTTAGGCAACCCACAATACACTTTTCGCAGCGATATGTATCCACCGTCATTGGTTCAAACTCGCACGTGACTTGCGTCACAATCACGCGCCACAAATCAAAACAAACCACCAACCGCTTACAAATATTTATTAAGCACCAGTCTGTTGAAAAACACTAAAAATTTTTGGATAACTCTCTGGAATGCCGTATTTACACTAAACAAATTTAAGAAAAAGTACACAACAATTTAATCCAACACAAAACTAACAACGACCCACAAGCGACAAACCTTTTACAAGAATTTTTCAAGCGACTGAAAAAAGCTTATGACTTGTAGGTGCGGTAATAAAAAACACTTAAAAAAAATTACGATTTACTGCTCATATGTTGTGAATCGATTCCTAAACGTGTCGTTACTTTTAACTGAGAAGTAGCGGCATCCCTAAGCGAGAATAAGTGAGTGAGTTCCATTTCAGACCGAGCGAGGGCGATGGCTTTATTGAATAGGTCAATAGCGACCACTAGGTTACCCCTGGAAATTAAAAAACGATAATCATGGTTTTGATTGTACATCAAAAGCGAAAATACCTCTGCACCTCCACGGTTCCAAGGGTTTCATAAGCAAATTCGCACTTGTCGTCAATTTTAATTGCTTCTTTCATCATTTCGACGGCTTGTTCGATTTCGCCTTTCCACTGAAGCCTCAGCAACCCTCTGTGCACATGGATTGAGGCGTTACGAGGATCGATGTCTATAGCTTTCTTGTACAACTCTTCAGCTTCAAGATAATCTTGTTTTTCAGTCAAAACTTGTGCGTAGAGGACGTACGTTTCTACACAAGTGGGGAATTTCTCGATACCTTTGCGGAAATTGGCCAGACTTTCCATAAGCAGTGGCACGTCCTGCACCTGCATGGCGTGCCTGTAGTCTGAATAACACTTCTGTACATAGGCTACGGAAAAATTAGGATTTATATCCACGGCCTTTTTAAAATCGACAATCGCTTCATCCGTCTTCTCCATCAACAATTTAACTTGCCCCCTGTGGTGGAAGACATCCGACACGTCGGCCCCAATTTCAGCCGCTTTGTCGAAATCTTGAAGGCACTCTGTGAGTTTTTCGTTCTGCATATAAATCGACGCCCTCTTAATCAACGAATTCACTTTAATCTTCGCGTCGCAGTTCTCCGTGTTGATAATCGTGCTTAAGTCGTCGAGCGCTTTATCCATACACCCCGTCAAAAAGTAGAACGACGCCCGAAGAGACAGGGCTTCGACTTTATACGGCGACTCGCTCTCGCTCAAATTGATCTCTTCAGTGCAGGCCGGAATGATTTCGTCGAACTTCTCCGTAGCGAAGGCCAACTTCGCCTTCAGGAACCCCGTCAACTCCCCTTGCCCCAACGGATCCCCCACTTCCCGCAGCTTCTTGAACACGACGTCCTCAGAGAACGACGCGAAGTACGTTTTGATGAAAGTCTTCGAGGGAATGACCGGCTTCCGGCTGCGCATCGCTTCCTGAGCGTGCTTCTTCCCCAGCTCCTTCAGCACTCGATCGGCCATCAACAACGCCGTTTGGTTCTGGAACTGTTGCAGTAAGCAGACGCACGTCACGTCATCCAAACAATTCTCCCAGTCTTTGACCACTTCCTCGGCTTTGGCCCGCCGCATCAGCGCCTTCTCGTATTTCGAATTCAATTCGATGGCTTTCGTGCAGTCTGAGATGACGCTGCTCCACTTTTTCAGGTTCTCGTAAGCGGCAGCGCGGTTTTGGTAGTATGTGGCGAGCTCGGTTTTGAACTCCGTTGGACACGTCTCGATCGCTTTGTTGTAGCAGTTGATGGCTTCGTCGAACTTGCCGCGTTTGAACATGTCATTTCCTTCGGTTTTGTACTGCTGGGCGCGCTCCAAGGGGGACAGCTCCTTGGCGGGCTCCTTGACGGACTCGTCGATGGAAATGGTGTCGCTTGTGTCTTTCAATTGGGGCTTCTTGGTCGTCCGCAAGTACCAGTAGCTGAGACCCACGGCACTCACGGCCCCTAAACCTAACGCGATCTGCCATTTGGGGAACGAAGAGCCGGAACCGGTGTTAGAAGAGGCCATTTAGCGACACTGCGACTGCTATTTTGAGATACCACACGCGATTTCTTATCTTTATTGGTTATTTATCGGAGTGAGGTTATGTAACCGGTTTGACAGCCGACACATTTGACAAGCGACTAGCGCCAACTACGTTTTAAATTCCACTATTATCATTCTCTGTATTAATTTATTCACAAAACACGATTAGACTGTTTGTTTGTTTATTTATCAAATTATCACAACTAATCATCTTCAGTTGTACTTTTTTTTTATAAGCGATTAATATTATTACGTGTTAACAGTTGGGTCACGTGACCATTATTATCGTTCGTTTCTGGAAGCAATTCTCCTTAATTTAGTCCGAATCGACGGTTTAATCGGGAATAAAATTTTTGTTGGCTTTTTTAATAGTTAATCGCCGGAATGCGTTTTGGGCTTCGTCCAAAATCGATGGAATTATCCGCAGTTGTCTGCATTATCGGCGCAGAATTGTGTCAAATGTGTCACTTTCGGTCACCTGTTTCGGATGTCAGTTCTGACACGTTGTATGCAGTATTTTCCGAAATTTCTGTCGGTTTTCTTTTTAATATGTGAAAATGGCAAGCATTGACGACGACAATGGTTGGTAAGTAGTGCGGAATTGGCCACGTTTCGGTTATCTAACGTCTATTTTTACGCATATATGGGAGCAAACGTGTCGTTGTATGCAAAGTGGCAGAGTCGTTTATTTACTTAATTTTTTACTGTGTTTTTGTGTTGACAGGGTGGCTGACTTGGAAAATGCGTTGTTGGAAGAGTGCTCCGTTAGTGATATTTATTGCATATGTAAGGGAAAGCCGTTGCCGGATAATTTGAGGTCTGAAGTCTGGCAGGTGAGGAGCATAAAAAATAGTGTTTTAGGATTTGTTTACGTTTGTCGGTCGTTTGGGAAATTTCCTTAATTTAGTTTGAACGTCCGGGGAGGGGTTGGAGTAGTAACGCGTTTTTATTCAGATAGTTGAAATTATAGTGCTATGACTCAGGTACGAAGAATTGAAGTGTAAACAAACACAAAACGTGTACATATTGATAAGAGATATCAGCTATGCATAGCTTATTAATATTGGCGGCATTTGGATTTATCAGTATTGGAGATAACTTTTATTGTTATTTGAAAAATATAGAGGTCTTTATGTTTAATACTTTCTAGGAATAATAACTGAAGCATGTATAAGTTCATTAAAACTTCGGAATTTTAAATGAGAAAGTCTGTTTTAATTTATTCGTTTGTTATATGTAATTCCTATTTTTTATATATTGTGCACAACCAAGGAGACATTAAAGTCAAACTCTGCAAATATTAAAGATCCATCAATTCCTTAATTATTAATTTATCTTGAAAATAAATACAGATGTTAGTGAACAAAAATTGGTCGAAGATTATTTCGACCGAACTTCCCCTGCCCTTTTTTAAAATTGAAATTTTTTCGCAAAAATTTTGACATTTTCGAAATTCAACTAAATGGATTTTCTTGTGGATTTCGAGCTCTAGAACTCAAATCCAGCCTCGGTTTTTTGATAGCTGCAACCGTTTTTCCAGAATCGACCGTTGAAATATCGAAATATGTATTTGAAAAATTTTAAAAAATTCGCATTTCGCAGCGATTTTTTCGAAAATGTTGCTTCCTGCCTATCAACATGCTATATTTTTGGAATCAGCATGTCGAGATCTACGTCCCCGAATTTTTTCATAATTTTTAGAGAACTTTTTGAAAATTGAAATTTTTTAACGGTCCCCCCTTCAAATTTCGCAAAAATTTTGACATTTTCGAAACTCAACTAAATAGACTTTCTTGTAGATTTCGAGCTCTAGAACTCAAATCCGGCCTCGGTTTCTTGATAGCTGCAACCGTTTTTCCAGAATCGACCGTTGAAATGTCGAAATATTTGAAATTTAAAAAAATTCGCATTTCGCAGCGATTTTTTCGAAAATGTTGCTTCGTGCCTATCAACATGCTATATTTTTGGAATCAGCGTGTCGAGATCTACGTCCCTGAATTTTTTCATAATTTTCAGACAACTTTTTGAAAATTGAAATTTTTTAACGGTCCCCCCTTCTTCAAATTTCGCAAAAATTTTGACATTTTCGAAACTCAACTAAATAGATTTTCTTGTGGAATTCGAGCTCAAGAACTCAAATCCGGCCTCGGTTTTTTGATAGTTGCAACCGTTTTTCCAGAATCGACCGTTGAAATATCGAAATATTTGAAAAATTTTTAAAAATTCGCATTTCGCAGCGATTTTTTCGAAAATGTTGCTTCGTGCCTATCAACATGCTATATTTTTGGAATCAGCGTGTCGAGATCTACGTCCCTGAATTTTTTCATAATTTTTAGACGACTTTTTGAAAATTGAAATTTTTTAACGGTCCCCCCTTCTTCAAATTTCGCAAAAATTTTGACATTTTCGAAACTCAACTAAATAGATTTTCTTGTGGAATTCGAGCTCAAGAACTCAAATCCGGCCTCGGTTTTTTGATAGTTGCAACCGTTTTTCCAGAATCGACCGTTGAAATATCGAAATATTTGAAAAATTTTTAAAAATTCGCATTTCGCAGCGATTTTTTCGAAAATGTTGCTTCGTGCCTATCAACATGCTATATTTTTGGAATCAGCGTGTCGAGATCTACGTCCCTGAATTTTTTCATAATTTTTAGACGACTTTTTGAAAATTGAAATTTTTTAACGGTCCCCCCTTCTTCAAATTTCGCAAAAATTTTGACATTTTCGAAACTCAACTAAATAGATTTTCTTGTAGATTTCGAGCTCCAGAACTCAAATCCGGCCTCGGTTTTTTGATAGGTGCAACCGTTTTTCCAGAATCGACCGTTGAAAAATCGAAATAATTGAAATTTTAAAAAATTCGCATTTCGCAGCGATTTTTTCGAAAATGTTGCTTCCTGCCTATCAACATGCTATATTTTTGGAATCAGCGTGTCGAGATCTACGTCTCTGAATTTTTTCATAATTTTTAGACAACTTTTTGAAAATTGAAATTTTTTAACGGTCCCCCTTTTTCAAATTTCGCAAAAATTTTGACATTTTCGAAACTCAACTAAATAGATTTTCTTGTAGAATTCGAGCTCTAGAACTCAAATCCGCCTCGGTTTTTTGATAGTTGCAACCGTTTTTCCAGAATCGACCGTTGAAATATCGAAATAATTGAAATTTTATAAAAATTCGCATTTCGCAGCGATTTTTTCGAAAATGTTGCTTCGTGCCTATCAACATGCTATATTTTTGGAATCAGCGTGTCGAGATCTACGTCCCTGAATTTTTTCATAATTTTTAGACAACTTTTTGAAAATTGAAATTTTTTAACAAATTTCGCAAAAATTTTGACGTTTTCGAAACTCAACTAAATAGATTTTCTTGTAGATTTCGAGCTCTAGAACTCAAATGCGACCTCGGTTTTTTGATAGCTGCAACCGTTTTTCCAGAATCGACCGTTGAAATATCGAAATATTTGAAAAATTTTAAAAAATTCGCATTTCGCAGCGATTTTTTCGAAAATATTTCTTCGTGCCTATCAACATGCTATATTTTTGGAATCAGCGTGTCGAGATCTACGTCCCTGAATTTTTTCATAATTTTTAGACAACTTTTTGAAAATTGAAATTTTTTAACGGTCCCCCCTTCCTCAAATTTCGCAAAAATGTTGACATTTTCGAAACTCAACTAAATAGATTTTCTTGTAGATTTCGAGCTCTAGAACTCAAATCCGGCCTCGGTTTTTTGATAGCTGCAACCGTTTTTCCAGAATCGACCGTTGAAATATCGAAATAATTGAAATTTTAAAAAATTCGCATTTCGCAGGGATTTTTTCGAAAATGTTGCTTCCTGCCTATCAACAAGCTATATTTTTGGAATCAGCGTGTCGAGATCTACGTCCCTGAATTTTTTCATAATTTTTAGACAACTTTTTGAAAATTGAAATTTTTAAACGGTCCCCCCTTCTTCAAATTTCGCCAAAATTTTGACATTTTCGAAACTCAACTAAATAGATTTTCTTGTAGATTTCGAGCTCTAGAACTCAATTGAACGGTTGAATTATCGAAATATTTGAAAATTTTTATAAAATTCGCATTTCGCAGCGATTTTTTGGAAAATGTTGCTTGATAAATGTTGCGCTGACGTCATCAGTTTTAGGGTGGGAAAGTATACGTTTATCATTTTGACGAAAACTCCTTCCAGATATGCCTAGACGTCCGAGACAAAGGCAACCAACTCGACCACTTCAACGAAATCTACGACCTGCCTAACCAATCGGTGCTAAGAGAAGACTGCACAGCCTTCGTATCGAAACTAGGAAACGACGAAGACGACAAACTCTCCGTGGTCTCTGACCTAGAATCAATTTTAACCTTTTACTGTAAGAGCCGCAACCTCAACTACGAAAAGAACAATGGCTGGATCGAGCTCCTTCTCCCCCTGCTCACCCTCAAAGTGCCCCGCTCCACCACCTACAACCTCTTCGAGGCCATCCGCGACACCTACGTCCCCCAGAGCTGCCACACCGACGGCAACGCCTTCCACATCCTGCGCCTCCTGCTGCTCTACCACGACCCCGAGCTGTGTTCATTTCTAGACACCAAGCGCATCACCCCCGACAGGTACTGCCTGTCGTGGTTCCAGTCGCTGTTCGCCGCCACCTGCAGCCTCCAGGTGGTCATCAACATGTGGGACTACTACTTCCAGCAGTCGGACCCCTTCTTCATTTTTTTCCTGTCGTTGATCATGGTGATCAACGCAAGGGAGCAGATCATCTCCATGAAGAGCGAATCTCGGGAGGTCATCGTCTCGAATTTAGCGAACATGCCATGCGCGTTGGAGGCGGAGGACGTGGGGGATTTTTGTTCGCTGGCTCAGTATTACGCGATGAAGACGCCGGTGAGCTTCCGGACGGACCTCATGCAGAATCTGTACAACGGAAAAGGGGAGGAGTCGGCGCTGGTGTCGCAGGCGCTGTGTCTGCCGGTGTCGGTGAGCGAGCTGGTGGAAAATCGGAACGAGACGGGCAACATCGACGCCGTGAGGTTTTTCCTGGTGGACTGCCGGCCCGTGGAGCAGTACAACGCGGGGCACTTGCCCACGGCGTTCCACTTGGATTGCAACCTCATGCTGCAGGAACCTAGTGCTTTCGGCACGGCGGTCCAGGGGTTGCTGTCGGCGCAAAAGCAAGCTCTGGCCCACAACTCGAATGCAGGTACGTCTTCTAGATTTTTACTTCCCGAGTGTAAGCAAAGGAAGTATTGTAATCGAGTCCGTCGGCCGACTCTCTACTTTTACGTTTTCTCGATCTTTCATGACCCCTAGAAGACGAAGAAATAGGTCTCCCATTTCCGTCTGTCTGTCCGTCTGTCCGTCTGTCCGTCTGTTGTCCCGGATTTTTATTAGACAGATAATCTCCGAAAGTACTCTACCGATTGTTGTGAAATTTTGTACTTATATTAAGAATATCATGTAGATGGTAAAACGCTAACCAAAATTTGTCTAATCATCCCCACCACTAATGCGATGACGTCACTTCAAAATTGTACATAGTAAATGGGTTTTAAATTGTATAAAATAACATAGTCCTACACATGTAGTTTACAACTCCGAATTGAGTTTTCACCCGAAACGTCCAGATTTTTGGAAAAAAAATCAAAATTATAAAACAACATTTTGAAATTTAATTTTTAATCTGCTAACCAGAATGCTTTGAAATGTTGCAGATGTTTTAAGGCTATAAAGAGCATCATAAATCTTTAGTCAAAAAATATTTGCTTATCCCCTCCAAAAACTTGATGACGTCAGCTCGAAAGTTTGCCGAATAAATCATATCTAAAATGTACAAAATATGATGAGCCTGTACTTGTCATTTATCACTCCATTCATATTTTTTGGATTTGCATATACAGGGTGACTCAAAAAAATTAATGAATGCGTAAATATATTTTATTGATTTAATCAGGAACTACAAAACCGAATGCTCTGAAATCTTGCAGATGTTTTAAGGTCATAAAGAGCATAATAAATGTTTAGTCAAAATATATTTGCTTATCCCCTCCAAAAACTTGATGACGTCAGCTCGAAAGTTTGCCGAATAAATCATATCTAAAATGTACAAAATATGATGAGCCTGTACTTGTCATTTATCACTCCATTCATATTTTTTGGATTTGCATATACAGAGTGACTCAAAAAAATTAGTGAATGCGTAAATATATTTTATTGATTTAATCAGGAACTACAAAACGGAATGCTCTGACATCTTGCAGATGTTTTAAGGTTATAAAGAGCATAATAAATGTTTAGTCAAAATATATTTGCTTATCCCCTCCAAAAATTTGATGACGTCAGCTCGAAAATTTGCCGAATAAATCATATCTAAAATGTACAAAATATGATGAGCCTGTACTTGTCATTTATCACTCCATTCATATTTTTTGGATTTGCATATACAGGGTGACTCAAAAAAATTAATGAATGCGTAAATATATTTTATTGATTTAATCAGGAACTACAAAACGGAATGCTCTGACATCTTGCAGATGTTTTAAGGTTATAAAGAGGATAATAAATGTTTAGTCAAAATATATTTGCTTATCCCCTCCAAAAATTTGATGACGTCAGCTCGAAAATTTGCCGAATAAATCATATCTAAAATGTACAAAATATGATCAGTCTGTACTTGTGATCTATCACTCCATTCATATTTTTTGGATTTGCATATACAGGGTGATTCAAGAAAATAAATGAAAGCGTAAATTTATTTTACTGATTTACTCAGGAACTACAAAACCGAATGCTTCGAAATCTTGAAGACATTTTAAAATTATCATAAGCATGGTAAATTTTTGATCAAAACGTATTTGGTCGTCCCCCCTAAAAAATTTATGATGTCACCACAAAATTTTGCTGAAAAAATCCTATCTAAAATGTACAAAATATGGTGAGTCTCTTCTTGTGATTTATCATTCCATTCAAATTTTTTCGATTTGCATATACAGGGTGACTCAAAAAAATTAATGAATGCGTAAATTTATTTTATTGATTTAATCAGGAACTACAAAACCGAATGCTTTGAAATCTTGCAGATGTTTTAAGGTTATAAAGAGCATAATAAATTTTTAGTCAAAATATATTTGGTTATCTTCTACAAAAAACTGATGACGTCAGCTCAAAAGTTTGCCGAGTAAATCGTATCTAAAATGTACAAAATATGATGAGTCTGTACTTGTGATTTATCATTCCATTCATATTTTTGGATTTGCATATGCAGGGTGACTCAAAAAAATTAATGAAGGCGTGAATTTATTTTATCGATTTAATCAGGAATTACAAAACCGAATGCTTTGAAATCTTGGGAATATTTTAAAGTTATTATAAGCATGGTAAACTTTTGTTCAAAATGTATTTGTTCATCCCTCCTAAAAAAATTGATGACGTCACCTTTAAATTTTGCTGAATAAATCCTATCTAAAATGCAAAAAATATGATGAGTTTGTACTTGTGATTTATCATTCCATTCATATTTTTTAGATTTTCTTAAGAGGTGGTTCAAAAAAATTAATGAAGTCAATTTATTTTATTGATTAAATTAAAGGCAACACTTATTATTAGTATTACACCCCAACCAACCCAATTTGGTAGACACAAAATTTGTTAAAGGAAAAACTCGGTTGAAACATAAGGGTAGCACGTTCATTTACATCGACTTTAACATTACAGACCTGCATTTGTTTTATGCGTTCACTTGATTCCGCGAATGTGAAATAGACATGTTTATAATCAACCAATTGTGAATTTCACCGTCAAGAATTAAAATAAAACCCAATGTTTTATATAATAAGCGGAAGTCGAAGCAATAAAACCGACGGTCGTTTTGTTTACAGTTTCTCTGTTTGGCTCTCATGTATGCTGTTACGCCTGTCATCTTAAATTAAGAATGTTTATACCACGGCCAACTGTATTAATACATATGGCCATCCCAATTCGTATAAAAAGTTGATTCTTTGACGTTTCCAAAATCGTTAATCAGGCAACGACATCTGTTGAGTACAATTATGAACTTGGTTGGCAAATAATTGTCAAAATGACGTTTTAAAATATCACGTTTTTCTGAAAGTGTAGATAATGGCACAAGAACATTAATGATATTACTCATGTTATTTAGTTTTGAAATAAGATAGATATATTTTTACAAAACGAAAATTATTTAACAAAAAGGAAGGTACATATTCATAATTTTAAAACTTTTCTGCTGGTAGGTTTGTTACAGATCGTTATTTTCTTCAACCAGTCTGTTTGTTCCAAACAAATATTATCAATAACTGGTTTCACTGTTGCTCGAATAATTACATCACAAACTCTTGATTTATGTTCCAAACAACAAAATAATGGATTTTGGTCCAAAGAAGGATGGAGCAGATTACATATTTGTTGACATGTCTTTTTGGAGTTTAAAAACGCCAACATTTTTTGAGTGACATCACTTAACAATTCCGCAGCGGAGGATCTGACACATTGCATATTCTGCCGCTCTGGCATCCGTTGCATCATTGGAGCCTCCTTTTAATCTCACATGTGAGAACGTTGCTTCCACCGCATCGGCGTTAAAGGAACGCGTAAAACATAGTAAAAGCCTGCTTGTTCTAATAAAAACTTAACACACAAATATGTACTTCTGGCAATAAATTTTAAAGCATGTGCAGTCTCTTGAGTGAAACCACGAAAACCGGTGCTAGCAGTATTTGATAAGATAAAACTGATTTTCGCACTTTTGACATTTTCAACTATTTTTCATTTATTTTCGAAAATTAGCGAAAAAAGTGACAACAATTTTTCGTAATTTCCAGAAAATTTTTGTCTGAAACAGTTAAAAGACGATCTGACCCACCGGAAAATATGTAGTTGACTTATAGATAAAATATTTTTTGACGATTTGTCTTCAAATAACTGAGAAATGCGAGGAAAGGACTCCAAAAATCTCCAAAATTTCCAAAAAATTTGAAACCGTTCCAAATGGCTTTATTTCAGAGAAAAACATTGAGTTTCTAGTTTTATAGAATACTAATCGCAAATTTACCTTATGAAATACTAGCCCCGCCCACCCACTTACCCTCCATTCTCTTAAAGAGTATGTCGTTTGCCAAAAATTGCCTTATTTAAGCAAGTACTAGCCCCACCCAGCCACCCTGTATTTTCTTAGGGATATGTTATTTACTAAAATCAGTTTTTTTGTTAGCAAATACTAGCCCCGCCCACCCGCCCTCTCTTACCTTGTAGGATATGTCATTTGCCACCGTTAGTCTTACCTTAGCAAGTACTAGCCCCGCCCACCCGCCCTCTAGTTTCTTGGAAGGTATGTGATTTGCCAAAATCAGTATTATCTTAGCAAGTACTATATTGTATATTGAAGTGGCAAAATAAATGATTAAACAATAATTAAATAGTACTTGCTAAGATAATACTGATTTTGGCAAATCACATACCTTCCAAGAAAATAGAGGGTGGGTGGGCGGGGCTAGTATCTGCTAAGATAAAACTGATTTTCGCACTTTTGACATTTTCAACTATTTTTCAACTATTTCAGAAAATTAGTTGAAGACATTTTTTTGTAATTTCCAAAAATTTTTTGTCTGTAACAGTTAAAAGACGATCTGATCCAGCGGAAAATAGTTGGCTTATAGATAATTTTTCGCAGATTACGAATCTAAAATATTTTTCACGATTTCTCTTCAAATAACTGAGAAATGCGAGAAAAGGAGTCCAAAAATTCCCAACATTTCCAAAAAATTCTAAAACCGTTCCAAATGGCTTTATTTGAGAGGAAAACATTGACTTTCTAGTTTTATAGAATACTAATCGCAAATTTACCTTATGAAATACTAGCCCCGCCCACCCACTCACCCTCCATTCTCTTAAAGAGTATGTCGTTTGCCAAAAATTGCCTTATTTAAGCAAGTATTAGCCCCACCCAGCCACCCTGTATTTTCTTAGGGATGTTTTTTACTGAAATCAGTTTTTTTCTTAGCAAATATTAGCCCCGCCCACCCGCCCTCTCTTACCTTGTAGGATATGTCATTTGCCACCATTAGTCTTATTTTAGGAAGTACTAGCCCCGCCCACCCGCCCTCTAGTTTCTTGGAAGGTATGTGATTTGCCAAAATCAGTATTATCTTAGCAAGTACTATATTGTATATTGAAATGGCAAAATAAATGATTAAACAATAATTAAATAGTACTTGCTAAGATAATACTGATTTTGGCAAATCACATACCTTCCAAGAAAATAGAGGGTGGGTGGGCGGGGCTAGTATCTGCTAAGATAAAACTGATTTTCGCACTTTTGACATTTTCAACTATTTCAGAAAATTAGTTGAAGACATTTTTTGTAATTTCCAAAAATTTTTTGTCTGTAACAGTTAAAAGACGATCTGATCCAGCGGAAAATAGTTGGCTTATAGATAATTTTTCGCAGATTACGAATCTAAAATATTTTTCACGATTTCTCTTCAAATAACTGAGAAATGCGAGAAAAGGAGTCCAAAAATTCCCAACATTTCCAAAAAATTCTAAAACCGTTCCAAATGGCTTTATTTGAGAGGAAAACATTGACTTTCTAGTTTTATAGAATACTAATCGCAAATTTACCTTATGAAATACTAGCCCCGCCCACCCACTCACCCTCCATTCTCTTAAAGAGTATGTCGTTTGCCAAAAATTGCCTTATTTAAGCAAGTATTAGCCCCACCCAGCCACCCTGTATTTTCTTAGGGATGTTTTTTACTGAAATCAGTTTTTTTCTTAGCAAATATTAGCCCCGCCCACCCGCCCTCTCTTACCTTGTAGGATATGTCATTTGCCACCATTAGTCTTATTTTAGGAAGTACTAGCCCCGCCCACCCGCCCTCTAGTTTCTTGGAAGGTATGTGATTTGCCAAAATCAGTATTATCTTAGCAAGTACTATATTGTATATTGAAATGGCAAAATAAATGATTAAACAATAATTAAATAGTACTTGCTAAGATAATACTGATTTTGGCAAATCACATACCTTCCAAGAAAATAGAGGGTGGGTGGGCGGGGCTAGTATCTGCTAAGATAAAACTGATTTTCGCACTTTTGACATTTTCAACTATTTCAGAAAATTAGTTGAAGACATTTTTTGTAATTTCCAAAAATTTTTTGTCTGTAACAGTTAAAAGACGATCTGATCCAGCGGAAAATAGTTGGCTTATAGATAATTTTTCGCAGATTACGAATCTAAAATATTTTTCACGATTTCTCTTCAAATAACTGAGAAATGCGAGAAAAGGAGTCCAAAAATTCCCAACATTTCCAAAAAATTCTAAAACCGTTCCAAATGGCTTTATTTGAGAGGAAAACATTGACTTTCTAGTTTTATAGAATACTAATCGCAAATTTACCTTATGAAATACTAGCCCCGCCCACCCACTCACCCTCCATTCTCTTAAAGAGTATGTCGTTTGCCAAAAATTGCCTTATTTAAGCAAGTATTAGCCCCACCCAGCCACCCTGTATTTTCTTAGGGATGTTTTTTACTGAAATCAGTTTTTTTCTTAGCAAATATTAGCCCCGCCCACCCGCCCTCTCTTACCTTGTAGGATATGTCATTTGCCACCATTAGTCTTATTTTAGGAAGTACTAGCCCCGCCCACCCGCCCTCTAGTTTCTTGGAAGGTATGTGATTTGCCAAAATCAGTATTATCTTAGCAAGTACTATATTGTATATTGAAATGGCAAAATAAATGATTAAACAATAATTAAATAGTACTTGCTAAGATAATACTGATTTTGGCAAATCACATACCTTCCAAGAAAATAGAGGGTGGGTGGGCGGGGCTAGTATCTGCTAAGATAAAACTGATTTTCGCACTTTTGACATTTTCAACTATTTCAGAAAATTAGTTGAAGACATTTTTTGTAATTTCCAAAAATTTTTTGTCTGTAACAGTTAAAAGACGATCTGATCCAGCGGAAAATAGTTGGCTTATAGATAATTTTTCGCAGATTACGAATCTAAAATATTTTTCACGATTTCTCTTCAAATAACTGAGAAATGCGAGAAAAGGAGTCCAAAAATTCCCAACATTTCCAAAAAATTCTAAAACCGTTCCAAATGGCTTTATTTGAGAGGAAAACATTGACTTTCTAGTTTTATAGAATACTAATCGCAAATTTACCTTATGAAATACTAGCCCCGCCCACCCACTCACCCTCCATTCTCTTAAAGAGTATGTCGTTTGCCAAAAATTGCCTTATTTAAGCAAGTATTAGCCCCACCCAGCCACCCTGTATTTTCTTAGGGATGTTTTTTACTGAAATCAGTTTTTTTCTTAGCAAATATTAGCCCCGCCCACCCGCCCTCTCTTACCTTGTAGGATATGTCATTTGCCACCATTAGTCTTATTTTAGGAAGTACTAGCCCCGCCCACCCGCCCTCTAGTTTCTTGGAAGGTATGTGATTTGCCAAAATCAGTATTATCTTAGCAAGTACTATATTGTATATTGAAATGGCAAAATAAATGATTAAACAATAATTAAATAGTACTTGCTAAGATAATACTGATTTTGGCAAATCACATACCTTCCAAGAAAATAGAGGGTGGGTGGGCGGGGCTAGTATCTGCTAAGATAAAACTGATTTTCGCACTTTTGACATTTTCAACTATTTCAGAAAATTAGTTGAAGACATTTTTTGTAATTTCCAAAAATTTTTTGTCTGTAACAGTTAAAAGACGATCTGATCCAGCGGAAAATAGTTGGCTTATAGATAATTTTTCGCAGATTACGAATCTAAAATATTTTTCACGATTTCTCTTCAAATAACTGAGAAATGCGAGAAAAGGAGTCCAAAAATTCCCAACATTTCCAAAAAATTCTAAAACCGTTCCAAATGGCTTTATTTGAGAGGAAAACATTGACTTTCTAGTTTTATAGAATACTAATCGCAAATTTACCTTATGAAATACTAGCCCCGCCCACCCACTCACCCTCCATTCTCTTAAAGAGTATGTCGTTTGCCAAAAATTGCCTTATTTAAGCAAGTATTAGCCCCACCCAGCCACCCTGTATTTTCTTAGGGATGTTTTTTACTGAAATCAGTTTTTTTCTTAGCAAATATTAGCCCCGCCCACCCGCCCTCTCTTACCTTGTAGGATATGTCATTTGCCACCATTAGTCTTATCTTAGGAAGTACTAGCCCCGCCCACCCGCCCTCTAGTTTCTTGGAAGGTATGTGATTTGCCAAAATCAGTATTATCTTAGCAAGTACTATATTGTATATTGAAATGGCAAAATAAATGATTAAACAATAATTAAATAGTACTTGCTAAGATAATACTGATTTTGGCAAATCACATACCTTCCAAGAAAATAGAGGGTGGGCGGGCGGGGCTAGTATTTGATAAGATAAAACTGATTTTCGCACTTTTGACATTTTCAACAATTTTTCAACTATTTCAGAAAATTAGTTGAAGACACTTTTTTGTAATTTCCAAAAATTTTTTGTCTGTAACAGTTAAAAGACGATCTGATCCAACGGAACATAGTTGGCTTATAGATAATTTTTCGCAGATTACGAATCTAAAATATTTTTCACGATTTGTCTTCAAATAACTGAATCTAAATGTTACCCTTTTTAAAAAACTTTCTAATACCACCGTTTTTAAACTCTAAAAAGACATGTCAACAAATATGTAATCTGCTCCATCCTTCTTTGGACCAAAATCCATTATTTTGTTGCTTGGAACATAAATCAAGAGTTTGTGATATAATTATTCGAGCAACGGTGAAACCAGTTATTGATAATATTTGTTTGGAACAAACAGACTGGTTGAAGAAAATAACGATCTGTAACAAACCTACCAGCAGAAAAGTTTTAAAATTATGAATATGTACCTTCCTTTTTGTTAAATAATTTTCGTTTTGTAAAAATATATCTATCTTATTTCAAAACTAAATAGTAGGAGTAATATCATTAATGTTCTTGTGCCATTATCTACACTTTCAGAAAAACGTGATATTTTAAAACGTCATTTTGACAATTATTTGCCAACCAAGTTCATAATTGTACTCAACAGATGTCGTTGCCTGATTAACGATTTTGGAAACGTCAAAAAATCAACTTTTTATACGAATTGGGGTGGCCATATACAGTTGGCCGTGGTTTATACATACACGATTTTCAGTTGCCTCTGATACGTAGGTATACGTGAGTAAATTGTTTCGTTATTTTATTGATTATTACAAATCAATATTCAAACGACCCAATTCATTTTCCCGAAAATTTGAGAATATAATAATTTTATTCTTAGTATTACACTACATCTATCCCAACTGATATACGTGTCCTTGCAAAAATGTTGATGACGTCATCGCAATTTTTTTTTAAATTCCTACTACAAAAATGTAATGAGAAAAAAAACACAATAGGCATGCAGTCGTCAAGTTTCCGACAGCGAGGGAAGTACTGTCTAAACTCTTTAGACCAATTTTTTTTTGCTGTCACCGTGATCGTGTTTTTGGTTTCAGGTGGCGAACACTTGTGTTTCTTGGGTTCCGGTCGCAACGAAGAAGACCAATACACCCACATGGTGGTCGCCTCCTTCCTCCAAAAGCACACCCAGTACGTGTCGCTCCTCACCGGCGGCTACATCGCCATCCACAACTACTTCTCCGACAACGTAAACGAGTACCTCCAGGAGCACAACCCCCGGGCTTGCATCGTGTGCGCGCCGCACTTCCACGAGGTCGCTCAAGGGGTCAAGTCCGGCCAGTCCACCGATCTGTTCGGGAAGATCTCGGCTGCGATGAAGTCCAAGTCGGCCGAGGTGAAGGAGAAGCTGATCGACTACATCGTGAACCCCAATAGCAGTCCGGTGCAGGAGCGCCACGTCAGCAGCAACGACAAGATCGGGAAGCGGTATCGCAACGTGGCGCCGGTTTTCAGTATCAGCGACGACCAGGACCACGTCACCAACGTGGAGAACGTGGAGGACGAGGACAGTCGCGAGCTGGTGCAGATCCAGGCCTGGCTGAAGAATCCCGACGTCATCGAGCATTTTCCGTGCCAGGAGGTGAAGTTGAACGGGTTCATGTACAAGAGTCACTTGATCGTGACGAACAGTGAGTTGATCGTACTTAGGGAGATGGTGGAGAGGAGGGGGATAGCGGAAGTGATCGTGAAGCGGCCTCTGTCGGCGATTGTCAAAATCACGGCGAGGAAGAGGCACCCCGAACTGATTACGTTTAAGTATGGCGTCCCCGATGGGGAGAATCTTATCATTTCGGATATGGATAGGTTTCTCATTCCCAACGCGGATAAAGCCACCAAGGTTGTTTCAGAACAGATATTAAAGCAGTTGAAAATTAAAGAGTAATTTTCTAAAGAGTTAGATACATATTTATTGTTGTTTAAAACTGTAGATATTTTATGATAGGAGCCATTTGTAAAAAATCGTTTTGTCTTTCTTTCTAATCTACAAATAAATTAATTCATTCTAAGCCGGTTATTTATTTAATACTAGTAACAGCGACGTGCACAATTAGAAAAATTAATAAGTTACTGGTGACTGGAGTCTATGTCATCGTGTTGACCTGGAACAACGGAAGTCCGAATGGTTACGTCCGGTTAACATAATAATAATTAAAAAACACTTACGATATCATCAATTTTCAGTATCGACCTCACTGTTTCTGTAGCGAAACTAATTGCGCTAACGGTAACCAGAAGCGGTTGAACCACATTTTCCTCCAAAATGTCTGAAATGGTGCCTTTGCGCACGTTGATGCCGGCTGAGGTCTCGCCTTTAGCGTGCCGATTTCTGAGCTCCGTGACCGTCTGAAAAAATAAATTTTTCAAGTCAAATTTTTTAGTTTTTCAATTTTGCAACTTCATTTTCCTTATTTCTTCAAGTTCTAGATTTTGCAATTTTAAAATTTCCCCAGTTTTTAATTTTTCGATTCCTCATTTTTCATTTCTACAAGTTTTACAATTGTTTCAGTTTTTCGACTTTCTAACTTTTGGATCTTGCAATTTTTACGTTTCTCAATGGTCTGAGTTTAGAATTTTTCGTTTTGTTAAAGTGAAATTTTTCAGCTTTTTTCACTGGAATTTGTCAATTCTTCAACTTTTCCATTTTTTTTGTTTCTTCAGTTTTTCGATTTGCAATTTTTTGAGTTTTCATTTTAAATATGTAATTGTAATTAAAAAAAATCAATTTTACGATTTTATAATTTTGACGATTCTTTAATTTTTGGATTTTCCAATTTTTCGGTTCAATAATTATTTTTATTTTTTCGATTTTCCGTTTCTTCAATTTCTAGATTTTGCAATTTTTGGACTTAAAATTTGTCGAGTTTTTAATTTTTTATTTGCAATTTTTCTAGTTTTTGTTTTAAATAGACATATAATAATAATAATAATAATTTTTAAAATACTTCACTTTTTCAATTTTACGATTTTAGAATGTTTTCATTTTAAAATTTTTCAGTTTTTCGACTTTCTGCAATTTTTAGATTTACAATTTTTCGTTTCGGCTTCTTATTTTCTTTATTTTTTTAATTTTTCGATTTTTCAATGGTTTGATTTTATAATTTTTTTTTTACTGTGAAATTTTTCAGCTTTTTTTACTTGGAATATTTCTATCCTTTAATTTATTTTTTCCGTTCAGTTTTTCGATTTGCAATTTTTTGAGTTTTTAACGAGTTTAAATTTTTCAACTTTTAAACTTTTCAGTTTTTATATTTAGTAATTTCAATTTTTCGATTTTTCATTTTTTCGTTTCTTCAATTTCTAGATTTTGCAATTTTTGAATTTAAATTTCTTGAGTTTTTAATTTTTCAATTCCTTCATTTTTCATCTCTTTAATATTTGATTTGCAATTTCTCTAGTTTTTCTTTTAAATATACAAAAATAATTTTTTAAATACATACATATTTCATTTTTTCAATTTTCAATTTTTAATTTTTCAAATTTTCGATTCTTCAATTTTTCATTTCTTTAAACTTTTAATTTGCAACTTTTCGGTTTGTTTTTTCTTGATTTTTACAATTTTAAAAAATTTTTCGATTTGCAATTTCATGACTTTTCTTTTTAATTTTTCATATTTTCACACTTCAATTTTCCAATTTGCAATTTTTCCTTGCGGTTTAATTTTGTTCATTTTTTCAATTTTTTGGTTTTGACTTTATAATTTTTTCGTTTTTTAATTTCATTTTTTTTCCATTTTTCTTGTTTCTTCATGTCTAGATTTCGCAATTTTCAGATTTAAAATTTCTCGAGTTTTGAATTTTGAATTTTTCAGTTTTTTAATTCCTTAATTTTTCATTTCTTCAATTTTTGATTTGCGATTTTTCTAGTTTTTGTTTTAAATATACAATAATAATTTTTAAAATACCTCAATTTTCCAATTTTAAGATTTTAGAATTTTTTAATTTTTCAAATTTTCCATTCTGCAATTTTTCATTACTTCAAATTTTCGCTTTGCAATTTTTTGTTTCGCTTTTTTATTTTCTTTATTTTTACAATTTTCCCAATTTTTTTGATTTGCAAGTTTTGTTCAGTTTTAATTTTTTTTATTTTTCAATTTTTCGATTTTATAATTTTTGTTTTTTTTAATTTTTTTTTCAATTTTCCCTTTCTTCAATCTTTCGATTTGCGATTTTTCAATTTTTCATTTTTCTTGTTTCTTCAATGTCTAGATATTGCAATCTTTAGATTTATGATTTCTCGAGTTTTCAGTTTTTTTTTAAATATTTAACTTTTTCAATTTTACGATTTTAGAATTTTTTCATTTTTCAATTCAATTTTTTATTTTTTCAAATTTTCGCTTTTTATTTTCTTCATTAGTTTTGAATTTTTCGATTTGCAATTTTTAATTTTTCATTCTTCATTTTTCGATTCGGTTTCTCATTTTTTTTTACTACTTTACTGTCTTTATTTTTTAATTTTCATTTTTTTTTGTTTCTTCAGTTTTTCGATTTGCAATTTTTTGAGTTTTCAAGTTTAAATTTGAAAGTTTTTCAATTTTCACAGTTTTCATTTTAAATATGTAATTGTAATTAAAAAAAAATCAATTTTACGATTTTATAATTTTGACGATTCTTTAATTTTTGGATTTTACAATTTTTCGGTTCAATAATTATTTCGATTTTTAATTTTTCGGTGTTTCGATTTTCTTTATTTTTTCGATTTTCCGTTTCTTCAATTTCTAGATTTTGCAATTTTTGGACTTAAAATTTCTCGAGTTTTTAATTTTTTATTTGCAATTTTTCTAGTTTTTGTTTTAAATAGACATATAATAATAATAATAATAATTTTTAAAATACTTCACTTTTTCAATTTTACGATTTTAGAATGTTTTCATTTTAAAATTTTTCAGTTTTTCGACTTTCTGCAATTTTTAGATTTGCAATTTTTCGTTTCGGCTTCTTATTTTCTCTATTTTTTTAATTTTTCGATTTTTCAATGGTTTGATTTTATAATTTTTCTTTTTTTACTGTGAAATTTTTCAGCTTTTTTTACTTGGAATATTTCTATCCTTTAATTTATTTTTTTCCCTTCAGTTTTTCGATTTGCAATTTTTTGAGTTTTTAACGAGTTTAAATTTTTCAACTTTTAAACTTTTCAGTTTTTATATTTAGTAATTTCAATTTTTCGATTTTTCATTTTTTCGTTTCTTCAATTTCTAGATTTTGCAATTTTTGAATTTAAATTTCTTGAGTTTTTAATTTTTCAATTCCTTCATTTTTCATCTCTTTAATATTTGATTTGCAATTTCTCTAGTTTTCCTTTTAAATATACAACAATAATTTTTTAAATACATACATATTTCATTTTTTCAATTTTCAATTTTTAATTTGCAACTTTTCGGTTTGTTTTTTCTTGATTTTTACAATTTTAAAAAATTTTTCGATTTGCAATTTTTCAAAATTTCAGTTTTCAGATTTGCAATTTCATGACTTTTCGTTTTAATTTTTTATATTTTCACACTTCAATTTTCCAATTTGCAATTTTTCCTTGCGGTTTAATTTTGTTTATTTTTTCAATTTTTTGGTTTTGACTTTATAATTTTTTCGTTTTTTAATTTTTTTTCCATTTTTCTTGTTTCTTCATGTCTAGATTTCGCAATTTTCAGATTTAAAATTTCTCGAGTTTTGAATTTTGAATTTTTCAGTTTTTTAATTCCTTAATTTTTCATTTCTTCAATTTTTGATTTGCGATTTTTCTAGTTTTTGTTTTAAATATACAATAATAATTTTTAAAATACCTCAATTTTCCAATTTTAAGATTTTAGAATTTTTTAATTTTTCAAATTTTCCATTCTGCAATTTTTCATTACTTCAAATTTTCGCATTGCAATTTTTTGTTTCGCTTTTTTATTTTCTTTATTTTTACAATTTTCCCAATTTTTTTGATTTGCAAGTTTTGTTCAGTTTTAATTTTTTTTATTTTTCAATTTTTCGATTTTATAATTTTTGTTTTTTTATTTTTTTTTTCAATTTTCCCTTTCTTCAATCTTTCGATTTGCGATTTTTCAATTTTTCATTTTTCTTGTTTCTTCAATGTCTAGTGGTGTGTAGCGGTGAGGGGAGATTATAAACAATTGTGTTAGGCACACAGGTTTATTGAAAATTGATTATTACATCAGAGCACCCGTGTGCTAGATGTTCCGGACAAAACTTAATAGCGACTGACTTAAAAACTAACTGTGTCGGTGTAACATAAGAAGTCGCCCCCGACTCGAAACCCAATGATTTTTTACGGGTCAACCGGGTCAAAGGGGTGGCTGCAGACCTGCAGCTGCAACATTTCTTTGACACACCGACGACATAGGCGTACTAAAGACATAGGCGTACCGACGACATTGTAGCACACGCAACATGCCGCCGCCCTTGAATGCCTCTAGGCATACAATTCACATTACAATTGTTCATTTTAGACTAGCAATATAAAAATAAGAACACACACAGATTGATGACAAACCATACAAAACCTGTAGTGCATATCAGACAGTACCATATTTTAAATACACAAGAAATGACATTGATTGGAATGCGCTAAAGAAATTGAATTTGAGTACTAACAACACGTCAAATAATATACGTAAAAATAAGCATCCATTTGAATCCAACAACATATGTACAAATTAAGAGGCAAACATAAACTTGAACATAACATGAAGTGTACAAAATCATGCAAGTCTGAGTGAGTACGCACAGCACAAGAGCCACAACGGTCGTTATCATACGCACTTCACTACACAATAGCACTTTGACATTTCGCGGGTACAGTATTTTTATTGGCCATCTATTGGCAGCGCACACACTTTGGACACACCGCGTTTGTAGACACCCTTTGAAGTTTTTACCGTCACTACGCGGACGACGCCGTCCTTTCCTGGGTGGACATCCTGGACCCGGCCAAGCGGCCAGTGAAGAGGTGGTGCGTCATCTTCCACAAGGAGGACTAAGATGCCCGGTTTCACGGAAGAGGGCCCCTTAACTCGCCACTTGGACCTCTGTTGTAGTTGCGACACATATTCTCTCTGCCACCTTCGCCAAAAATGTTGCCGCATTTTTTCGACATGCTGCCACCGTGTTAGCCGGTTCAGCTTTGTAGACTCGAGATCTTCTTCTACGGGGGCAGTTAACGGAGCCCCAATCAAAAAGTGGCCAGGTGTTAGAGGATAAAGATCGTTTGGATCATTGGTCAAGGGGAGCAGTGGGCGCGAATTAAGACAAGCCTCAATTCTGACAAGTAGTGTGTGCATTTCCTCATAATTCAAAATTGTATTACCAATTGTCTTTTTTAAATGTAATTTTGCCGATTTGATATTG